GGTGCCACAAGTACTCCTGTTCTTTGTGTGTGTGTGCGTGTGTGTGTGTGTGAAAAAATTCCCTGGAACCTACTCCCCTCATTTACATTAAATCTTATGGGGAAATTGGATTCGCTTAGCATCGTTTTGCTTAAAGTCGCATTTTTCAGGAACAGAACTACAACGTTAAGTGAGGAGTTACTGTATAAACAAGGGAATCCTGAGTAGGAGTGAGGAGGTGCTATTATCTCTGTATTTGGCACTGGTGTGAGTGCTACTGGAATACTGTGCCCCGTTCTGGTGTCCACAATTCAGAAAGGATTTTGAAAACTGGGGAGGGCTCAGGAAATAAGCCAGAAGAATTATTAAAGGATTGGAAAACTTGCATTATACTGTGATAGATTTAAGGAGTTCAGTCTATTTAACTTAAGAAAGACAAGGTTAAAGGACAAGATCACAGTCTATATCTACATGGGGCACAGAAATTTAATACTGGAGGGCTCTTCAATGTAGCAAAGGTATAACAAGATCCAATGTCAAGAAATGGAAGCTAGACAAATTCTGACTAGAACCTCAATTTTCTGACAGGGAGGGTAAACCACCATTGGCACAATTTACCAAGGGCAATGGTGGATTTTTAATCACTGACAATTTTGAAATCAAGATTGGATTTTTTCTAAAAGGTCTGCTGTAGTTCAAAAATAATTAATTCAGTTACTGCTGTGTTCCACAGGACATCAGATCAGATGATCAGAATGGTCCCCTCTGGTTTTATAATCTATGAAACACTCACCCTGTAGAGCCATCACGATCACCAGAATCAGCAAGATCAGGCAGACGGGCCCAAGGATGATGGCAGAGAGCCGCCATGGAGATGCACTGGGAGATGCTAACAGGAAGGAAATGGAGAACATGAACATGCACTTCCTTCTGCTTGGGATTCTCAGCCGGGAACCCTCTTCTGGAGTTAGGTGCCTAAGCCAATAGTCTAGTGGTAGGGGCTCTCACCTGGGATGTGGGTGATTTGGAGCAGGGACTTGAAGCCAGGTGAGTGCCCCAAATCCCAGGCTGTTGGCTATTCTGGGGTGAGGCTCTCTCAGTCTTGCATGTTGGAGCTATTCCGCGGTGTACAAATCACTAAATATTCATTGGGCCAGAGAGAGAAAGTGAAAGTCTGACTCTGGCGGTTTGGGCACTCACATGGGATGGGGGAGAGTCAGGTTCCGGTCCCTGCTCCAATAAATAGTTAATTATTGACACAAATGGAAAGAGACAGTGAGAGCTGCAATCCCCCCCCCCTCCCCCAATAGGCTGGTGTTTAAAGCTCTCACCTGGGATGTGGGAGATCTGGGTTCAAGAGTCTCACATCCCAGCCGAGTGCCCTATCCAGTGGGCTACTGGGTATTCTGGGACACACACACCTGGCTACCTTTTGTGCAGGCTCGAAGCCATAGGCATGCACTGAGAGGATCAGGCCCCGCTGGCGAGACAGATAGAGGAACATGTAGTTTGAGAATCTTGTTTCAGGGCTCCCAGGGCTTTGGCTTGAGCTAGGGCTCTGAGCAGCTCATTAGCTGTGGGGTGCCAGGACCTAGGCTTGAGCAAAGGCAACTACCAGCAGAAACGTAGGTGCCTAGGAAACTTAAGCACCTAGTGGGTTAGGCAGCAGCTGAGCAGTGGTTTTAACATCAGGAGCACCTAAATGTTGCACTTAGGTGGCTAAAAACGTAGTTAGGCCCTAAGCCCCTTTGTGAACCTGGCCTTTCTTCTCTGTGCCTTAGCTCCCTGTCTGTAAAATAGGGATAACGATACTGCCTTTCTCCCACATGTCTATTTAAGCGCATCAGATCAGAGACTCTCCCTCACTGCGTTCATACAGCAGCAGCAATGGGGCCCTGAGCTTGGGTGGGCCTCTAGGCGCTACGTTAATAATAACCACCTTGTCCTACACAACTAAGTTAAACAGGTTGGTAGCCAAGGTGCCCTCTTTCCATGGTCTTCCAGCACCCGGCTACCTGCCTCTTGGATGGCGCAGGGAATGCTTGTGTGCTGTGTCCAGGTAAGGCAGCCTGCAGCCATGGAACCCAGCAAAATGGGGGTGACTTCCTGCCAGAAACCTTTCCTGATCTCCCCAGACAGGGGCACCCCCACGACCCAGCTCCCCCCCAGCAGAAATCTTGCTTGGTCACATCTCCAGGCAGCCTCCCTGCCAATTCTGGCCCTGGTCAGTGGATTAAGGAGGCAGGTGGGATGCAGTGTGGACAGGAGCACGGATCCTAGAAATCAGGGTGGGCCAGGCAGGAGTGGGGCTGGGATGGCTGTGGGGAGCCGCTCTGCAGTGAAGCAGAGAGAGGCAGAGGAGTTTTAGGGATCACCTTTTCCCCCTTATTGCGATAGAGCCTCTTTCTGTGATTCTTCACTGTTGTTACATGAGAAGAGGGAGGCGTTTGGCAGGAAGGGTCTGGCAAGGCTGGGCACAGACCAGGGTGGAGGTCAGGGCACCCGTCTCAGGGGCAAGGGGCGGGGGAAGGGAGGCTGAGTGTTTGGGTCACCCTTCCCCTTGCTGTGGGAGGAGACCCCTGCACCTGCAATGATAGCAGCTGGCCCGGCCTCCGCGTTGGCTTTCCCTTCATCCTTGGCCTCGTAGATGACATTTATGTCAGATGGAGTGCCCTTCACTTTCCTCTGCTGCACAGACATGGGGGTCTGCAGGTAAGAGAACCCACCGGCAGGAGAGGGTCTCACCTCAAGAGATCAAAAATCATGCATCAGACCCTCAAGAATCATAAAATTGGCCCAAGAAATCATGTTTTCTTAAAAAAAAAGTTTTTTAGACTGTTTCTTTTCCTTTGCCAATGTATGTGAGAATTTCAGGTTGAAAAGTCAACCTTTAATGCACTCAGAAATGCACACTTCTCTTTGGCTGATTGGATAGAGACCCCGCTTAGCTTCCCTCACCCCTAAGATAGGAGAACTGCCATCCATTTCCTATTACTGTCTTCACCCGGTACCAACACTCAAGGATCTCAATCTATTTAGCTTAACCAGGAGAAAGTTAAGGGGTGACTTGATCACAGTCTATAAAGTACCTCCATAGGGAACAAGTATTTAATAATGGGCTCGTCAATCGAGCAAACAAAGGCATAACATGATCCGATGGTTGGAAGTTGAAGCTAGACAAATTCAGACTGGAAATAAGGGGTAAACTTTAACAGTGAGAGTAATTAACCACTGGAATAATTTATCAAGAGTCGTGGTGGATTCTCCATCACTGATCGGATGTTTGTTTCAAATATCTGCTCTAGGAATTATTGTAGGGCAGTTCTGGGGCCTGTGCTATACAGGGGTCAGACTAGATGATCACAATGGTCCCTTCTGGCCTTGCAATCTATTAATCTAATGTACCACCCACTGTCCCAGGGCTTCTCCTCTGACAGGGTCCCAGCACTACCACGTTCTCAACTTCCCGCTCCCCTGCCTCTTGCTGCCCCGGGACCCTCTCTCTGCTCCAGGACCATACAAGAAGGCAGGGCTTGTCTGCGTCCTCAGCCCCAAGGCTCCTGCACAGCTCTGCCCGTGTACCCAGCCGTGACATTTGTGAGATCCAGCCTCTTGCACCATCGCGGCAGTTCCTGCTGCAGGCGCCCAAATCCCGTGACTTGCGATCCATCCGTGAGAACTGACGACACTGCAACACGGCCTTACCCTGGCTGCTCGGAGGGGACTCCCCTGCCCCACAACCACCCCACACTGGGGTAACTGATCCCTCCATCTTCCACCCCATCTCTGTCCTTTGCACCCCCTCAGCCTCCCTCTCAACCCCCAACCCTCGTATCTCCCCTCAGCCTCCCTCCTACCCCCACATCTGCTGCATCCCTCAGCCTCCCCCCTACCCCCACATCCCCTGCCCCCTTCAGCCTCCCTCCTACCCCCACATCCCCTGCCTCCCAGCTACCCTCCTACCCCACACCTCCTTCCCCCCCCAACCCCCTTCCTACCCCCTCCCCCCCCCCCCCCCCCCCCCCCCCCCCCCCCCCCCCCCCCCC